ACGATTTCAATCCTAACATCACCCGCTACATCTGTAAAGGGCATCTGATCAAGCGAACTACGGTGATGGGATGCCTCCGCACCTTCTGTGAGACTTGTGCTGTCCAGGGTGTGGCAACCCAACCAAGTTCATGAGATAAATCCATTAGAAATGTTAAGGTTGGACAATACATTAGAGGAAATTTTTTTTTTTTTTTTTTTTTTTTGTCTTTTTCCGTGTCCAGCAACGGATCGCAACCCTCAGTGTTGCCCCCGCGCCTCGCTCAGCCAGTGAGCGGGAACCGGTCTGTATGTGGGATCTGAACCCTCGGCGGGAGCGCAGCCGCACTTCCCAAGTGGCGCACTAGCGCAGGGCGCCACCGGGCCGGCCCTGAAGGAAATTATATTTAAACTGGTCCCTGGACTGTGAGAACAAGAACTTAAGTGTCAGTGTGAATTCTGGAGGAAAAATAAACTTCAAGAAAATGGATGAGATGATAGTTCAAAAGTTGACAAACCTAAAGTAGATGAAAAAGGTGACGAAAATCAAAATGATAAAGACTATTGCAGAAGTGACCCACAAATCGCTATATGTGTAGGTCGTTTATAAATAACGGACAACTGTGACAATGTAGTAAAGGGTTTAATGAAGAAATTCATTCTATGTTCCACATGTGTAACTGTGGGAACTATCAAAAAATTTCTAAGTTTAAAACTAAAACTTCCAACTTCTTACGAGTCGGATGTGCTGTGCAATGGTAAAATTATGGGGAAGGATCATACTATGGGATTCATCTACATGGTGACTAAGAGGGGAAAACTTTCGGTGCCTGAACTGCTCGGTTTTGTGAGTCAGCTCTCAGGACGGCCCTTTGTGTCAGTCATACCCTATGGTACTGCACTACCGACCAAACAGNGTAAAATTATGGGGAAGGATCATACTATGGGATTCATCTACATGGCGACTAAGGGGAAAACATTCGGTGCCTGAACTGCTCAGTTTTGCGAGTTGGCTCTCAGGACGGCCCTTTGTGTCAGTCATACCCTATGGTACTGCACTACCGACCAAACAGATTTTGGTTAGACCAAGGGGTCTACATCTCACTGAGATGAATCCTGCACTATCTGTTTACTTGTTGACGGATTGCACAGTGAAGGGCGTGTGGACTAGAGGCACACAACCAGATTTTCAGCATGCAAGTAAGGCGATTTCTGTCTCTAAACTGTCAGTTGCATACATGCTGTTTCTACTAAGAGCAAACCAAGTGCCACTCTGCTACTGAACCGTCTGCATAAGTTATTTGTGCTTTTTCACGGTGTGTAAGTCATGACTGAGATCAGCTAGGTATGCAGCCATGACTCAGCCTTCTGAATATTCTGCTTGCCTATTTCAAGACTGTTCTAATGCTTAATTACACTAGTAAAATGGCTCAATCTTTGTGGTGTTGTGGTTTTCACATACTTACTATTTTATTAATTCTTGTTTAACTAGAGTACCATACAAGAAACTAGTAATTATATCTTGAAATTATTCTGTATGGAAATATATTTAGGAAGGTGCTGTTTGAGCCACTGTCCTGTTCTTGGTAAGCTTTGTGTGCAAAAAATAGTTCATTCTTGAGTATGCAAGTCCTTTTGCAAAGAATTCCAATTATTCTTTAACATTAGAGCACATCATAATTGTAGACATTCTAAGCATCTGTCTGTGTAGTCTACCAATTACACAAGGAAGGCATGTTAGCCCTTCAGATTGAAAATGTATGTGACTTCTGGGGCCGGCCCGGTGGCGCACTGGATGGTGCGCCGCTTGGGAAGCGCGGCGGCGCTCCCGCTGAGG